AGGATCCCCTTATATTTGTTTAACAGGTTTGAGACCTGGTACTCATCTTTTTTGTCCTGCTTATTCAGCAGCAAAAAGTGGAATCATTGCATTCACTAAAGCAATGAAGGTTTGTCCCTTTTTTAAACAAAAAAAGATACAACTTTTTCATTTCCATTTTAGAATAATTTAGAGCTCAGGGGTATTAAAATTAGAATAAACTCCATTTGTCCTGCTGGTGTTGAAACTCCTTTGGTTTTAGAGGCAGCAAAGTTGTTTTATTCAATGCCTCAGCCAATAATAGATGCGGTTACAGCATCAAGCTCTACCGAAGTAATGAAGTTAGTACATCTTTGTTAGACTGTAAAAATGACTGGCATTGTTTATAGGCCTGAGTTTATAGCTGAAGGTATAATGGAGCTAATTACTGATGCTAGTAAAAATGGTGCAATTCTCATGGCAGAGCCAGACAAAGGATTCACATATGTTGAGGAATAAGAAGAATGCTGAACAGAAATGAATTGCAAATTCTATTTTAGCTAGTCTAATATAAGATTAAGATTTTCTTTGCATTAGATACTTTCTTTTCACACCACAAAAGGTCAATCATGCTTGAAGTATAATGGCAAAATTATTATTTTTATTGTAAACAGGAAATTCTTTGTATTAATGTTAATTGCAAGCTACTCCCATAAAAGGGAGTGTTTAAAAATTGGAGTAGACACCTCTCCTAAAGCTCTGATGTTGTCAGGTCGTGTTGCTCTTGTTACTGGAGCTGCTGGCGGTATTGGACTAGCTACCAGCCGTCTCCTTCTTCAATCAGGAGCAATGGTATTCGACAGGGACACAGAAATTAATGTTAATTTATGCATATAATATATACAGGTTGGTGCTGTTGATAAATCTTCTAGTCTGAAATCAACTTGTGATGCTTTGGGAGAAGAATTTGGCACAAGTAACATAGCCTGCCTTCCTTGTGATGTATCTGATGATGATGCTTTGGTAACGTGTAGATAAAGTAGTCTAACGTGAGGTTAATTGTCACTTTTAGAAAAATGTTTTTAAAGAGACAAGTCGGCAGTTTGGCTCACTAGATATAGTCATAAATAATGCAGGAATAGGTGATGAAAGGTATTGGAAGAAGCAAATAAAAGTTAATCTGGTATGTATTGCTTCTTATATGATTTTATTATTATTGTTTCGTTGTCAAAATTTAAACAGCAATCTGTCATCAATGGGACATACTATGCAATGGAGCTAATGTCACCTGATAAAGGAGGAGTAATAGTTAATGTATCATCAATGGCTGGTTAGTTAAACTGAGACATGATAAAGGTATTTTGATTTCCTTCACTGCATCCTGTGATGATAGGATTACACCCAGTGAGTACTGGCCCTGTATATTCAGCAGTGAAACATGGAGTTGTTGCTTTTACTAGAGCAATGAAAGTTGGTCTGAATGATCTTCAGTATTGTGTTATTTTTAATTTCATTTATAGGAAAATGTAGCGGAAAAGGGCATCCGTATAAATTGTATTTGCCCTTACTTTGTTGACACTACAATGGGTAGAGCTGGTTTAAAGGCCCTGCCTGAAGCAGAAGCAAATGAAGTGCTTAAAAATGGAATATTAAAGTTAGAGTAGCATAGCCTGATTCCTGATTCTTGTGAACCGTGTTGTATTTGTAGACCTGAGTTCATTGCTAAAGGTATAATGGATCTAATAACTGATACTAGCAGAAATGGTGCTATCCTCAGAGCTAACCCATGGCAAGGACTCATGTATCAGAGATACAAGGAAGACATGAAATCAAAACTTTAGCTATAGCATTGATGTGCATAATGTAGATTTATAAATAATTTTTAATAGATCTAGATGAATTTTTACTTTAAAACCACACCTAGTCCAAACTGTAAAGGATGCTCTTTGGAAGAGTTGCTGTTGTCACACTGACAGGAGCAGATAGACCAACAGCTAGTGATGAGATCGTATTAGAAGCCTCTAACCTTCTCCTTCAATCAGGTGCTAAGGTTAAGTATGATAGCTAATAGCTGCCTATAGTATATATTTATGGCATTAGGTATGCCTTGTCGATGTTTTTAATGGAGCCTGTTCTGCTCTAAAATCAAGGTGTGATGCTTTGGAGAAAAAATACGGTGCAAATAATGTTGGTTATATTTCCTGTGATATTATGAATGATACTGATGCTTTGGTACGTTAATTTTTTTACTAAAAAAAGTGTGAGTTTATTGTTCATTTTATTACAGAGAAGAGCTTTTAAGAAGGCTTTTGAACATTTTGGTTCATTAGACATTGTCATCAATAACTTTTATGTATACGACGAAGAAAATTTGGAAAAACTACTGAAGATAAATTTAGTAAGAAGTCTAATGGTCATGTATAGCCTCAATATAAAATGCAAATTTTCTAGCAATCTGTCATTAGTGGGACTTACAATGCAATGGAGCTAATGTCACCTGATAAAGGAGCAGTGATAGTTAATGTATCATCAATGGCTGGTTAGTTATAGAGTAGTCCATGAAATAAAAAACC